TTATATATTATATATATAACATATATACTTATTATATACAAACATTTAGATACACATCAGCAGGCATGGGGAATATTGTTTTCATTTGTTTTGTGTAAGATCTTTGGCTGGAATAGAGAAGTCATTGTTGTAAAGTTGTTTTGTCAGTTGTCCCTTTCCTGGCTTTTTAGCTAGTGGAAGTAGGCTGTGTGTGTGTGTGTGTGTGTGTGTGTGTGCACGTGCACATGTCTTGGAGGTGTGGCATTGGCATTTATGTTTATATCTGGTCCTTTACCCTCTCTTCTCTAGAGCTGTTGCCCTGTTCTGCTTCCTGGCCATCATAAACTAAGCATCTTTCCTCCATCAGCCCCTTTTGCTATGATATTCTTGACTTGGAGCCAGCCAGATGTGGATGAAATTCCCAGAAACTGTGAGCAAAGTTAAATCTCCTCTCCTTTAAATTGTGGATGTCAAATATTTTATCCAGCAATGGGAAAGCCAACTAATACAGTGTGAGTGTGTGTGGGGGGTGCCTACAATCTTACTATTTCTAGAGCTCCTTCAGCTCCAGGTCTGGAATATATGAGGGTAGAAGAAAACCTTGGACACTTGCAGGGGTGGGGTTCCTTGTGTCTTCAACTTCCTAGTCATTGCATCTTCTCTCCAGCTTTCAATCAGATGTTTGTTTCATATATAATCTCCAGGGCTTTTAGTGGTACTCTGTGAGAGAAAGAGGAGAAAGTACATTTATTCTGCATTCTGGAACAGAATTATCGAGGGGCTTTTTAAAGTGAATCAGCTGGGGAATTGAACCCAGTGCCTTGCACAGGCTAAGCACCTACCCAGTTGTATGTCTACCTCCTCACTCTTTTAAAATCTGTTCTCTGCGTCCACTTTCACAGAAGGCATTTCCCTGTGAAATAAGATCAGCATCCTGATGCCTTTCAAAAAAAATATAAAACAAGTTTGAGAAGATGACAAGGTACTTAACAGGTTTAGACCATACCAGTCTCCCTGGCCGACACTGCGCTGGGGCAAAAGCTAGTGCAGTGCGCTGGAAATGATAAAAAACAACAATGTAAAGTAACTTCTAACTTTGGCTGTGATCATTGTGGTGAACAGGATATGCTTCTGTATCCAGTCTTCAAGGTCCGTAGTATCTGATCAAGACCCGCCTTGAATTTGTGTTAGTCCTGGTTGCTTCAGTGAAATAGATCCTTTAACAGTTTCTGTCACTTTTTTCACATTTTGCAGGATTATATTCTGGTGGAAGGCACTTTCCGGATTGTTGGGGGAAAAAAAGCTGGACCCAACTTTGACACTGAATTTACTGCTAGCTCCAGGAGGTTTAAATGATTTAAGAATTGTTATCCATTATCAATGTCCAATTGAATGGTGAGTCCTGCTAGTGCTGATGCACAGATAGCTGAAGAATTTTTTGGAAACTTCAGATAAGCTGGCTGTGGATGAAAATTACTTGCCAGAATAGATCTTCAGTACCGTCTAGGGTTTTTCTAGGAGGCTTGCCCATTTCTCAGAGTGCATCCTTACTGGGAAGCAACGTGTGACCGCAATTTAAGAAAACACACCTTCCTTCCGTTGTCACCCTCACCCTGTCACAGACAACTTCTAGGAAGGCTTCTGCATGGTCATTCCTGTTCTTTTTCTCACTGTCACCCTCCTCTGTTCCTCAGGGCACTCCAAGCTGGCCTGCTCCCACTATTCCAATGAATCTGCGCTAGCTGATGGCAATGCCTATTAAGACGAGACATTTCTCCATCTTCACCTCACTGATTTCCTAGTAAAACTGATGCAGGTGATTGCCGTTTCTTGAAACGCTTTCCTTGCTTCCTACAGTTCTATTTTCTCGTCATGCTGCCAGCTCCTTTTGTTCCTCCCCTCTACACCCACCCAGCTGTCAGTCCAGAACCTTGGCAATCATCCCAATTCTGCATATTTCACACACTCAACCCAACCCACCACCTTCCAACTCTCTCCACCTCTCCCTGCTCTATTCTCTATAATTCAAGTAACCAAACAACTCTCCCTAGATGCTGCAAACCAGCTGGGTTCACACGCTCTGTGCACAGTGGTCTCCAGATCTGGTGCCTGAAATTTCCCGCTCCCACTGTGTGATTAGTCCTTCACCATCCACCACTAGGAAATCAGAACATCGGTTCATCTAGTTCAAGGGGCAATGAATGGTGCAAAACACAATGAGGACCAGCCCCCAAAAAGTCCACACTTGCCATACGACAATCTGGACCCGAGGCAGATTCTGTTTCCGGTTATGAGTGATGTCACTTCCCCTCTGGTTGCCTGGAGCTTTTAAGGACTGGCCAAAGTTCCAGATCCCCTTACCCTCTTCCTCTTTGCATCTTTTCTAGTTTAGTCTGGAGAAGAGCCTGGCAAGAGCCCCCATCCCGCCACCCCACTCTGCAGCCAGGGGCTTGAATAACTTGGGGGCAGAGGAAGGACCATCCTGCGAGAGGAAATGACTGGGGTGACAGAATTGGAGTGACAAACAAGAAAGAAGGGTGGAAGAGAGTTGGGCCGATGGAAGGGGTGGATGCAGTGCGGGTGCAGAAGCGATGATGTGTAGTAGCCAGGACTTCATGGCCATAAAATGTGTGTGTACAGAGGGCCACGGCAGCCTGCATACTGTTTTCTCTCCTTTTTAGGTTTTACCACTAAACTAGCCCCAGTCCCTACCCACCCCTATTTTCTAGTAAACTTTCCCACTGCTTCTGTGGCTGTCTGGGGTGAAGAGTCTTCACTGGATAGTTTCTGTTGACAGCAGGCTCAAGTCTCTCTTCTCACCCTTTTATTGAAATGGCAAAATCCAAGTACAAATACCATTTTTGTTGTTGTTTTTGTTTTTGTTCAGTGCCAGGGATTGCGCGCAGGACCTCCTTGGCAGGTGCAACAAATACCATTGTTAAGAAGGCAGAGAAGGCAGCAGGAGATCAGAGTCATTGGCCTTTATTTTGAAAATGAGGATCTCTTTTTAAGTACCTTGAAGGCACTTAAACATATTGTCACTCATGTAAGTGCTGAGAAACTTGAAAGCAATAGAATTTTTTCCACAGTCGATAGAAAAGAATGGTTATCAAATTAATATCTCTTGACTTTCAGACCCAAAGAACAAAGCCACGATCTCCTTTGCCTGGATGTTGGACCAGGTTGCCAAATAGGGCCTTCCTCCACACAGCCTGGACATTCAGTTTTGCTTAGTTACTGTGTGGGCTTTTTAGCCTGATGTTTTCTTTCTTTCTTTTATGGAAGAGAGCAACATAAGTTCGCCAGCTGCTGAGTTTGTGGAATCATTTTATTTGGTACAACTTTCACAACTACTTGTGTCAGGTAGAGTGTGAAAACATCTCTCAAGTACACTGTTCACCTAGCGAGCATGCTGCCACACTCAGTTGCTGAAAGCCAAGAGGAACAAGCTTGAACGATTAGTGAGTATGAAATAGCAAAGAATTTTTTTGATAACAGGAACATAGCTTTTGTGCTAATAAAATGCCTTGAACATTAATCTGTGGTTTTCAGTAATTAGCATATAAATTTTAGGTTTCAATTGGTCCATAACAAACAGGCTAATTACGTGCCCTACTCAAGTCATTTATCTAAATGAAAAATTCTTCTAAATTGTATTTGTGGGGCATTGATCAAAACTAATGGGAGAAAAAGATTAAGATAAAAGTCATGGGATTAAATTTTTAATTAGTTTGGCCCTTGAACAATTGTGTGGTGTGACATTGGTGATTGAGGGGCTACTTATACCTGCCTGGAAAGATGTGTCTCTACCACCCAACCTCTGAACAGGAGAGTATTTCACAAAAGACGATATTTTATTCGGTTAACCATCTCTTTATTTCTGCTCAACAAGGAATTGAAAAGGAAGGCCAAGTCTAGGATCTTAGAGCCCTTTGTCTCAGGATGTAAGTAAAGAATGAGGCAGGAACTTCAGGCAGTTTGTTAATAAATAGCCCCAACAACCTGCGCAAAGCAGACACACTCACTTCCGGTACCCCACCTCCCCCTGTCCCAGGGTTCCTTACGGCACCTACTGGTTCCACCACACACCAATGCCCCAATGCAAAAATTCAGGAGCGGAGGAGCCGTTGTAATTCCTTTTTTCCTCATTCCCTACAGTTCAACCACTAACCAATTCTATCGGCTTTTCTTCCAAAACGTGCCTTAAACCCGTTCACTCTTCTCCTCTCTACCGCCCTGACCCAGGCGCCATCACCCCCGGACCTGGTTACCTGCCACAGTCTCCCAATTTGGCATCCCCATTTGCAAGCTTGTAACCCACTTCCAACATCCCAGTCCATTCTCCACACGGCAGCAGCCAAAATATTTAAAATGTAAGTTGGATTTGATCACTCTGCTATCTAGAGCTACCCAGTACCAACTAGAATGCCCTACAAGGTGCTCCCTCATATTAGGCCTGATCGGGGCCGTCTTTGCCTCTCTCCTCACTAGCTCCCGATACCGTCTTTCTCACTTCCGTCTTCCAGGGTGACCTTGCCATTTGAACCCTTGCACAACCTGTACCCTCTGCCTCATCCTCAGGTATTCGTAGAGCTGACCCTCTCTCCTGTTCAGGTCTAAGCTTAAGTCTTACTCCTTAAAACAGGCTCTCCTATTATTTCCCATCATATCGACCTGATTCCCCTCCATCACGACGCTTATCATTACTGCATTTTCTTTCTTATTTCTGTTTGTTTATATTATTTATTTATTTATTTTTGGTTCTGGGGATTGAACTCCGGCCCTTGCACTTGTGAGGCAGGTGGCGGCACCACTGAGCCAAATCCCAGCCCTTGTTTGTTTATTATATAATTTATTTTTATAGTACCTGTTTGCAGTACATGCATTTTACAGTCGCTATGGGGAGTGGGTACATGTACATAATACAGCTGGTTTCTTTTTTTAAATCCCTTTCTCCTTCTGGTCTACCTTCTTCCCTCCTCTAAATCCCCTTTTCCCATTTTCTTTCTATAGTGATACGTGCAAACCAGTGCTGTAGGAACTAAATACAAAGTGTGCACAGCGGCTAAGTCCTGGAAGCAGCCTGCATATCCATCAACAGATGATTAGAGAAAATGTGGTACCTTTATATAATGGAATATGACTCTGCTATAGAGAGTGACAGATTTGAGACGTTTGTGGAAAAACAGATGCACCTGGAAAGTATAATGCGGAGTGAAATAACAGACACACAAAGACCATATAGTATCTCATTTGAGTAGCACAAAGTACGAACAAAGAGCCCAGGGCAGGATGACTATAAGGAGACACGGGGACTGAGCTCTTGCAAATGGGAAGGGGTCCAAGAGAAAGTGGGTTCTGAGAAGAGAGGGTGAGAGGAAGCGGAAATAAGTAGAATAAAGACGTGTTATGCACAGGAACCTCATAACCTCCGTGAACGTAAACATGAGATAAGATTCGTACTGTCATCATTGCGTTTTCTTGTATCTGTCTTCCTCTGTTTATGGGCTGCCTCCTCCCTGTCCCTAACGCGAGCTCCACGGAAGCCCAGATCTGGCCTCTCTTGTGCGTGGCCATGTCACCAGGGTGCCCACCAGGCTCCGTGCTGCACCGATGAACATCAGCGCGTGGAGACTCTTGGCCCCTGCGTTGTTACGCTCTCATCTCAGATACCTGGGGACGGGGAGGCTGGGAAAGCTCAGGGGAGCAAATGGCAGCTAGAGGAGACCCCAAGCACATGGCATGGGCAAGGACATGTGGGGAGAGGCCGGAGAAACACTTGGGGTGGGACGGTTGGAGGTGAAGGAAAGTGAGGGCGATGTGGAACAGATCTAAGATACGTTCCACCGGTCTTAAAGCTTGCACACGAGAGCACCTGTTTCTGTCTGTCTGTCTGTCTGTCTGTCCGTCTGTCATCTCTCCAGGAGGCAGAGTGGTGTGTCTCAGCATTGGCCATGAACTTGCTGGGCCTCGTTGTGGCGCAGGGGCCTAGGTGGGGCTGTGTCACCCTGAAGACCCCAAGGCCCATCACATTATCACTCAGGACGTGAGGCTGCAGCCGGAGAAAGCACAGTGGCTCCGGTAAGCACCGCACCGAGGAAGCCTGGGTCCCTGCACTCTGGGCCCCTTTTCCCTCAAATACAAACCGAAGCCTCTCTTGGTCTCTTCTGTGACCTCACAATGCAAACTTCACTAAAATTGAGCATGTTGGGTCCCCTCCTCTCCCAAAAGCAAGCAGTTTATTTTTGAGAAAATCCTGGGCCCCAGGCTACCCCATAGTTTGGCCATCGAATGTAAATGACAGCTCTTGTCTGAAAAGCCATCTGATATTTATGTTGATAACTGATGGCAAAGTTAGGTGCAGAGTCTGCTGCTGTGAAAGCAGTCCAGGGGCTTAGACTTACTTTTTTGCTTGAAGTTGGGTTGGAGGGTTATGAGGATAAGCGAAAGAAAATACTGTTAATGTTCAGTTTCAAAAAAAAAAAGAAAAGAAAAAAAAATACAGCTGAGACTTTAATCCTTTCCGTCAACTTGCCACAATTAGCTTTCTTCCATACTCCCTTTGGGTGGCCCTTGTGCAGTCTTTCTCCCCCATGAGTTTACCCTTGGCATTCTTAATTGAACTGCAAACTTTACTGAGATCCACTTTAGGTACTGAGCTGCATTTAGTCCCATGTCACCGCCAGTCCGTGACAGTTCCTTATTATTTCCTTGTCTTTCCTGGCCTTGACACATTTTCCTTTTTTGTTTCTTTTCCTCAAAGTTCTGGGGATTGCACCCAAGGCCTTTGCACTGAGCTATGCTTGTGCAAAGTTACTAACTCGCCCAGGCCGGGCTCCAACTTGAGATTGTCTTGCCTCAGCCTCCCAGAGTGATAGGAACTCAGGACCTTATTGCTTTAGAAAAGGGCTGGTCAATTATGTTGTAGACTGACCCCCATTTTGGAGTCCCCTGATATTTCCTCATGATTAGATGGGGTTCTGAGGCTTCTGCACGAAGACCGCTGAGGAAAAGTGGCTTTCTCAGCGAAGCAGATCAGGGTCACGTGAGGCCATCATGGCGGAATGGGGTGACATTAATTTATTACTCGGTTAAGGTGGTGGCTGTCTATTTTCTCCCCCGTACAGCGAAGAACTCTATTTTGATTGACATATATTTTAGGGCAGAGGCGGTAAGGTTTCCTCTGCATCATGCATGAGCAGACTTCCCTTATGCACTGCGGCAGAGGGCGTGGGTCCCGTGATTTGTCCACACTGCGCATCCCAAGGACTGCTCAGAGCTTGCCAGGATGGCACTGCCCAGAGTCAGCACCGGAACTAATGCCTGCCACGCTAAGAAACACTGGGGCTATGCGATGATATCCAGAAAAGAAACTGACATTGCAGGTTATCGTGGATGCGTGCACACGAATCGAATTCAGTTCCATTTCCGTTAGGAGAGGGTAACATGTTTCCAAGGTCTGCGGCGTGCCAGGCCCTGAGACCAGATTTAAAGGCACGGACCTCGCTCCCAGGCATGCGCGGTTCACAGTGGGGCCCACGCTCCTCTGAGACTCAGAACCGACAGGAAGCAGTCAGTACCCGTCTGGGGCCCAGGGGTCGGGAATCCCTGCTCTGCGATGTGCCAGTGTCCCCACTGCTGATGTGACCGCGCCCCTGTAACTTCTCTGTAGGAGGGATGACAGGGCCTGGCGGGTGGTGACACCAGTTCATTTGTACCGGGAGATTTTTTGCTTAAGCCAAAGGATCTCTGCGCACCTTCCGCTTTTAAGCCCCCACCCCATCCCCGTCTGTCCGCAGGACAGAAGGAAGCCGGGAAGCGATGGTTCTGCATCGGTTGTGACTCATCAAGTGCTGCAGTGCAAACCAGCGCGCTTCCCCGGGAGACGCAGCACACGCGAGTCAGGCCTCTGTGCCCGGCCCCTGATGAGAAGGGCTTAGCTCCTCGAGGAGTCAGCGCTCCATAAACAGCCCCGGATGTGGCTGCTAATGGTTTGCGGCCTTCCTGCCTCGGAGCATCTGCTGAGCTGTCTGGTGAAGGCCGAGGTCGACCAGGTCCTTCCCGCTCCTGCCTCCTCCATTTTGATAACTCCCTAGCGCCTCGGGTCATCGACCTTTCCGGTCACCATTGGTTTTGCTAAGAGGGGAAAAGCGAGGTGGAACAGCTACTCCGAGTGGTCGGAAAACAAAACAAACTGCCAGTTAACAGGGTTAGGGTGAGGGGACCCCTTGACAGTTCTTGCTGGCGACATTGCTCCACGTGTCTTCTGCCTTAGCTGAGCGAGATTCACTGAGTCATCCTGACGCTACTACTACTGTTCTGTGGAGCCCATGACGAAGACTGACCCAAAGGTGAGAGTAGCATTCTTTGTCAGAGAGAAAGGAGCACAAGGTAACGGAGGCTGTTTCAGTTTGGATTCCCTAGACCAGATCCAGAAGCCCCGCCTGAACTGTAAGTCATTTATGTGCGCGGTGCAGGAAGCATTGGTTGGGAACTGGGAAGACCCAGCTTGGAAAAGCAAAGGCCAAGGAAGGATGTTACCAAGCCGGCTGCTACTGTGGGGCACTCGAGCCCCACCCAGTGACAAACCCTGGGAAATGGTGTAGGGCGCCTCTGTGAGAATCCCCCGGGGTCTCCCTGTTCCTGCTGGGAGAAGGGAGCTGAGTTATTTACACACCAAGTTCTGAGTGTCTGTGAGTGGTGCTGGGCACACAAGGTGGTTTTCTGCTGTAAGGAAGCAAGTTCTTAGTAGAGAGATGGAGGCGCTGGCCTTTAAAGGTCAACCAGAGTGCACAGATGTGCAGAGGCCCGCAGGACCCGGCCTAGGGCTGACTGAGCTGCCATTTTCTCAACTTCTCATGCCCAGGCCTTGGAATCCTCCTTGATGCATTGCTCGTGTTTTTTTATGGTTTAAATCTGAAATGTGTCCCCAAAGCCTCACGCCTTCAGACTGGGGCTTTCCAAAGGGGATGAGGGGTGCATCTGGTCACCAGCATCGTGCTATCTCTGTCCCTCTCTGTCTCTTTCTCTCTCAGCTTCCCTGCTGCCGAGAGGTGAGCAGCATTCTTCTGCCTCACCCTTCTTCCACCACCACGTTTCTGGCCCAGAACCACCCATCCATGGACTGAAGTTTCCAAAGCCGTGAGCCTAAATAAACCTCTCCTCCTGCCAGTTATCTTTGTCAGCATCTTGTCCTAGTAATGAAAGACGGACACAACCCGACTTAATCCATCGCCAAATCCTGTGAATTCCATCTTCGAAACATACCTTGAATCCTCCTACTACCTCCCACCACCTTCACTATGCTCTTTCCGTGGAGTTTTCTGACAGCTTCTGTTAACAGCCCCTATCGAGACGCTCATAGGTGGGGCTTCGAGCAGGTGACTGGATCATGGGTGTGTTTGGCCCTGGATTAGTCCACTGATGGGTTTACAGCCGGGTGTGATGATGGGTGCTGGAGTTTGGTGGGAAGAGGAGGTGGGTCACTAGGTCTTGGCCTGGACATAGATATAGATATATCTGCCTCCCATAGTCATGATCATAACCCAAAGGATACTAGTTTCTATTTTATTTGTCTATGCCTTCCCCAGGGAGCTAGAATGTAAGTACCATGAGAGCAAGGACTTGGTTTGAGTCTTTGCGTTTCCCCTAGCCCCTAGAAGAGGGCAGCATACGTTAGGTGTTTATTGATTGAATGTTTCTTAGCCCGCCCCGAAGAACACCTATTGGCTGTGGCTTTTCCGGCAAGACAGCAGAAACACCACAGACCTCAGTCTGATAAGTAAGCAGTCTTAGTGAAGAGTAAGCACTCTTCGCAGAGTCTGCTGAAGACCCTGGGGCTACTGCCCATATGTCCTTCCTCGGCACCCACTGCAAATCTCAACTTGTTCGCTCTTCTTTCTGTTTGCCCTTCGGAGAGCAGAAGAAGGAACTCGGAGGTGATTAGCCTGCTGCACGTCACACCATGAGGAGGACAGAGCAGAGTCTTGCTTTTCAATAAATGAGAATGCAAAGCTGGTCCTTTACCCTGCTGCCAGGCACACGGGGCATCTAAATGTTGAGCGATTTTGAGCAATTGGATGGTGTCATCTGTTTGAGGCTATGAAACTTTCTTCATACGCTAATTGCTTTGCAGCAGTGTTGCATTTTATGGCCCAACCTCTTACAGATGCCAGAGTGGGAGAGGATTTTCTCCATCTCTGCCTCCCATCCCACGAAACCCTTAGCCCCGCCCATCCCGTCCCTCCCCTTCGTCCCATCCTGTGAGCCTAAACATAGTCTCCGGAATCAGTTCCATCTTTTGTATGTGTTTTAATTTAATCCTTTGCAAGAAATGCTCATTTTAGAAAATTCTTGAATTACAGAAAAAATGGCAATCCTCCTCGTGTCCTCCACCCAGAGATAGCCACTATTAATATGTGGGTGCACTTTTATGTAGGTTTAATGTGCAAGTTTATCTCTCTGTTTTGCTTAATATCGTAACATAAACACTGTTCCTGACATTCAACACATCGTGAATTTTTTTAAACAATTGCCTATGATTTTGATTTCTGGTTGTGGATCATGTTGCTCGTTTTCTATTTTGGAAGATTACAAGAAACGCTGGGATTAACACCCTTGTGCATGCGTCTTTGCTGGCATTGCCAATCACTCCTTTAAGGTAGAGTTCTCCAACAGGAATAACTAGCCCTAAAGGATACAGACTCTTAATACGTTTTGTGAGACTTCATTTTGATTTACAAAACTGTTGGAATGTGACTTCCATAAAAGAGCTCCAGAAAAGCAGATTGCCTTAAAGAATTTACTTCCATTTAAAACATTTCAGAACCACCCATTTCAGCACCCAGTTTAAATGGGCACAGAGATCTGCCGTATCCTGTCTCCTCTCTAGGCCTCTTCATTCCCTAATAAAATGCAGCGATGGCATGGTAAAAGGCTTTCTTTGGTAAACAATGTCTTTTCTTGTTCTCAAGGATTGTTTGCTTAAGTCTTTCCAGCAGATACTGAGTTTATGCCTAGAATTATGTGCAGTACCTTTGCATGCCTATTTGTGATATCTTAAGGGCTTAGTTATGCTTTTATGGTTTTTTTTTCATGGCCAAAAGAAAGTCCAGATTTCACGGCCGTGTAACCTGCTTTTATAAGTCTGTCTGGGTCTTGTCCAAAAGACCGGAGTCATCTTGGCAGAGACCACTCTTGAAAACACTGTTTGGGTAAGGAGTCATTTTGCAAAGCTGGACATCCTGGAAAGATCTTTGCCAAAGATGAACAGTTTAATAATGGTGGGAAACTGTGACCGTCACAGAAGAGAGGAGTCAGGCATCCCATAGTACCTCAGAGGTCCAAGGGATACAGGATGGCTCAGGAAGTGTATGAGTCAGTTTTTCATCATTTCACCAAAATACTTGAGAAAGTAAGCTCAAAGGAGAAAAGATTTATTTTAGCTCATGGTGTCAGAAGGTTCAGTCTATGGTTGGCTGGCTGCAAGGCAGAAATATCATGGTGTAAGGGCATGGAGGAAGAAAACTGCTCACCTCATGGCAGCCAGGAAACAGGGTGGAGAGCACAGCAGAAAGGGCTAGGATAAGATAAACCCTTCAGAGCCATGCTCCTCAATGACCTTCCTCCAACCAGGCCCCACCTCCTAACAGCCCTTTCATCAGTGGATTAACCATTGGTGAGAGTAGCATCCCTACGCTAACCACCCTTGGAAATCCCCACTTCTGACTGTGTGAGCCTTTCAGAGGATGTTTTAGATCTAAATCCTACTAGAAAAATCATGCAGCCGTATCTCAAAATATCATGCATGCAACAATATTAAAAAGAATGTCAGGCATCTCTACTTGACCTTAAAAGATGTCTATGATATTTTGTGAATTCTAGATAGCAAGTTGTAGAGAAACATGTGTCATTTAATTTCATATTTATAAAAGGCAAATCATGCTTAAGGGAACCTTGAATATCTATATGAATGAGAAGAAGTGTAAGGAAAAGCATGCATCAGCCTATAGCAAACGCAGGCTCCCTGAGGAGGATGGGTGGAGGAGAAGGCAGCAAAGCAATGTTTGCTTTACACAGCTTGTGTTTACATGTGGCCCCCCAGACTTCATGCAGTCATAGGTGGGGCTTTTTCGGAGGTGGCTGGATCTAGAGGGTGTGACACTGGAGTTGATTCATGGTGCAATGCTAGGATCTAGAGCACTAGGGTTAAGGGTGTGAGTGCTGCCTGCCCCAACTAGCCTGGATAAGACATAAGGAATAGAAGAGCTGCAGCCCTCACTTGTTGCTTTGCTGCCTTCTGCCCACCATGAACTGTTTCTTCTCTGGGATGCCACCCTGCCTTGGAGCCAGCCGATTGCAGACTGAAACCTCTATTAAGTGTGAGCTACACCAACCTTTCCTCCTTTAACTTCCAGTGTTTGGTATTTAGCCTCAGCAATGAGAGAAAAGTAACTAGACAACAACTCTATTGAACAACTTGTAACAATGCATGTGTATACCATGTGATCAAAATATACAGGGCATGTAAAATTTTAAGCTTTTATTATAGCAAAAGACACATTGCCATGAATCCCCCTCAAAATATCCCCCCTGGTCTAAACATATTTATCCCATCATTCTTTTGATACTTTCTGTAGCAGCTCTGGAAGTCTTTCATGAGTGTCTTTATAAGCTGTGAGCTGGGCTTGGGTAAATGCTGCCCCCAAATGCCATCCAGTAGAAAGGGACCCTTGTATAAAAACATAGCAGTGTGTGTCCTCATCCACCTTATTCATTAAATCTGGCACCGTGGGACTTCTGGCTCTTACTCAAAGTCAAATGACCATGAAAGGTAAATGTTTTGAATCAGTTCAGGACACAGAGACAGCTGCGACGATGCAATGAAAGACACTTGCAGAAAAAGACTTCCCGAACTGTTTCAGAAAGTGGCAAGAAAGATGGAATGTATTTGAAGCAAGGGAAAGGATTTTGGGAGGGATTCATGGCACTGTTTCTTTTACAATAATAATTTAAACGCTCATTGTATTTTTATGACATCTCTTAATTCCTTTTAAAATCGAAAACAAAACAGAAAAAAAAAATGAGGAAAGCTCCCCCATCACACACGGGAAGGCTCCGCTACTTCTGAGGGGTCCTGGAAACTGTTGGAAAAGTTTATTGTGCTGGCCCTCACCAGAGAGGTCATAAACATAAGTCTTTTGGCAGAACACAAACAAACAACTACCAAACCAGGGCACGGTCCAGAGAGAGTCAGGAGGTCTCGTCCTTTCTGAGGACAGGAGGCCTTGGGCTGGGTGTGCAGTGAAGGCGGGAAAGCTTGATTAGGGCTCAGAATCAGCATGCACTTCTTAGCCATCCATGAGACAAGCCCAGTCCTGCAACTAGAGATGGAGCCCGGGGCTGGGCTTGGGAGTGAAGGCTGAGGTGCATGTCCCTCAGAAGTGACTGGACTTCCAAGCAGGATTTGCTTTATATTCTGCCTGTGAGTGAGGGTGTGTTTATAGTGAATGGATGATTTAGACGATGATGGGTCTGCTGCAGATATAAAGGGATAATTGAATCTCAAAGTCTATTAAAGACTGTTGTCTTACATCTTGCGGGGTGACATTTGATTACAGGGGCCTTGCCAGCTCCTGTATTCAGTTTATTCTCTTCCTTTCCTTGCCTCAGTATCTATCCAGTATTAGATTTTTCCCTCCCCAGTCAGAAGTTGCAAAGAAAAACCTCCCAGGAGAGCCAGGATGCCAGAGAAGAGCTCCTGGGGAGTTGACACCATGGGGACATAGAGGCTCAGGACTGGCCTGTCACTGTGTGACCTTCAGCGAGAGTCTTATCTTTGCAAGGCCTCAATTTCTTGCCCCGCAAGGCATGGACAGTGCAGTCTACTTCTCCGTTGTCGTGAAGAAGATCAGGTGACTCTTAACATCGTTACAGCCAGTGCCGCCATCAGCTGTTGCAATTAGGACTTTTGTCACTCTTAGTTTGACCACAACCTTGCTCTCTTTCTTTGGGCAAATCGGTCCATTTCTGTGGTTCCTTCTCTCTCCGATGCCAGATTAAAAACTCTTGCCAGTTAATAACTCCAGTGACCCCAAAAAAGCCACAAGCAGCAGAAGAGCCCAAAGTCCATCCCGGCTTCTGCAGACGCTGGATAATGTCATTCTACTAGGGGCTGTTCCCAGTAAGCGGGCTTT